TAAAACGCAATGTTTTCGAGAAAAATGTCAAAATGAGATGGAATGCATATCGTGATTCGCCATTTTCCTCAAAAACATTGCGTTTTACGAAGAAAATATCAAGAGACAAAAAAGTTTTTATATTCAATTTCTTTCTAGCTAACTTTTTGATTCCAAAGACAAGGAGCCCACGAAAATGTGTCTTAAGAATGTTCCCCGCCAAAAAGCGTAGCATTATTAGATTCCACATGTCATGAAACCCCTGTGTCCCAAATTTAGTGATTCTCGTACAACAGGGTTCTGAGATATAAAAAAGACTATTCTTAGGGGCAAGATTTCAGGGGGCTGTACTCCGAAAGAGGGGGCCACTTGGCAAAAAGAAAAAATACGGGTCCTCTAAATTTGTCTTAAGAATCTATGACCAAATTTTGTTGCATTAAATTCGGGACACCCTGTATAGTGCTGTGCATTTTGTATTTGTCTATCTCTTTCATTTTATTAATAATTTTATCATTTTTTAAATTGTGTTCATAGGTGACAACATTCCCAAGAAGTATAGAAAAGAAAATGATAAAATGACTCTTCAGAAACTGAAAGTGTTATACCAAGTAGTGATGTTTATTTTTTTTGTATTTATAGAGATGCGACGTATGTTGAAATATCAGTTTTTAAATATAAAAATTACTTCCGGAAATTAAATATTTAAATAGTTTACTTTACAGTCGCAGGATCTGTGTAAATTTGTAAAAGAGGGCTACAATATGTATATTTGGGCTTTGACTAACACGAAGGTGCTCTAATTATTACAAGCAAATATAATATAAATTTAGAAATATCTGCAAGATAAATGTAGTCAAATATGCTGGGTTGACCAGCACGTTGCAAATAATTTTACAGTAAATCGTCCTCTTTTTGTACTTACGTTGTGTACCTAGGCCCTAGGCGATACGTGCCTAGAAAGGAATGTTTATCTTAGATCCGTTATTGCACATAAACTTTATTAGCACTGGCGCTACATTCGATATTAATTAAGTTTATAGGTCCCGTATTCCATTAATGTAAAACGTCTCAAGTGCAATACAGTTTAATGACGGCAATGAGGAATTTAATTGGAATTGTTTTTTTATCTTTCTCTTCCTTCCGCGAGGTTTGGTTAAATGTCTTTCTCTGGTAGGTCTTCCAATTGGACAATTAATTAACTTGGTATATGCAATTGTACCATTTTACTCAGTTTAGGGTGAAGATGACTGCCTTGTATACTTATTTATTGTAATATTGTAATATAATTAGTATTATTAGTAGTAATTAGCCTCGGTGGCTGGGGACCAAACGGCAAATGTTATAGAAACCTGTTTAGGTGGGTACGTGTAGGTCGATTACGGCTACATTTTAAAAATATTTTGAAATATACAGGGTCTCCAGGAAAAGCGTACCATATCAAAGTTATGTATTTTTAAATGGTACACTTTGTATTTTACTGCTTTTTTGAAAGCAATGTAAAAAAATAGGTGAACTTTATTAAAGTTTCTGCATACCTAGGACTTATTGTTTGTGAGATATTTCAATTTTAGTGAAAGTGCAGGCTTAGCGTAGAAATTTAAGATTAGCAATAAAAAAGTAATTTTAAAGAAGCAGCATTGGAGAGTGTATTTTATATCCTTGAAGTTATAAATTATTATATTTATCGTCACTTAGTATTGTACAGGGTGTTCAAAAAACTGCTGAATACTTCTCTCAACTTTAAACAGCAATAACTTGGTTATTTTAAATGGGACTGTAGTGATTGTTTTATTAGCTGTAGTGTATCTTTGTATGTAAGATTTATTTATTTTTATCAGATCAACTAGGGTCTGTGGTAGCTAAGGAATAGTACATTGTGTAACGAGTGGGGAAAAGTTGCCAATAGCGCCACGCGGACGCAGTTGACGCACGAGCGAAGCGAGTGTGGAAAGCGCCCAAGTGGCGCTATGGCAACTTTTCTGAACTAGTTGCACATACTATTTTCTATCACAAGTGCGAGTCGTTATGGGACCTATAGCATAGGGGGTTAGATGCACGCTCCAGCGTTGCGCTATGAAAATAACATCACGCTGTTGTACTATCTAGCACTTTCCGTGCATCTAACCCCCTACACTATAGGTCCCATAGCGAGCTCGCGTGATAGAAAATTTATTGACAAATAAACAAGATTTTGTATTAACAGAAAAATAAAACATAAAAATATTTTGAGGCCTCATCCTTTGCAAATTCAATTATATTAGCAAATTTAAAACATATTATTTATGTTGCGATAAAAGTACATCATCAACATGGGGACACCCAGTATATCTTTACTTTGGGAGCTAGGAAATTTAAAACTCTTTCAAACTTTTATAGTTTCTATACCTATCTTTAATAGACCGGGACATATTAAACTGAAGTTCCACGACGTCTTTCTCGTTTATGCCTCTTGAGAGTACTGAAAGGTAACCGAGAGGCAAGTACAATAAACTATAAATGGGCTGCGGGACATCTTTGTGAAAATTCAATTTTCGTTTTCAAAAAAATAATGTGTACAGCGGCGTATTTCTCACTTATACCATGTTCATAAGTTGAAGAGAAGTATCGATTTTATCACAATATTTTTTTTTGACATAAGTGTCGCAAGGGACCTAAAAATGAAAAACTTTGTAAAAAATGTGAAAAACATCTTTATTTGTCTACCAATTACTCATTAATGCCAATTAGAAATATGACATTATTATATTCGAAAGGCTCATAAAAAACATTGGCATAAGTCCTACTAAGGACTAAAGAAAATAGGGCTTTGGAAAAGTACACATTATTTTTTTGCAAAAGAAAATTAAATTTTCACATAAGTGTCCCGGCGAGCACATCGGTTTTTTCCATAATCTTACTTTTCTCTAATGTATCTTTCAGTACCGTAAAAGGCATAAACGAGATAGACGTCGTTGAACTTCTACGAGTATCTCCCGGTCTATAACGGTATTGGAAATATTTGTACCGTTTCGGATTTTTTTGTAAGTCCACGTGTCCCTGCCTAGCGACCGAGGCGTTACTGGTATTAGCCAATGCATTTTTTTACTCTATTTTAAAGCTATTTTAATTTTTTTTAATCTTATCAAATAAAGTCGAACAATGTTCTTCGATACAGTGGTGGCTGATACAGGGGGACTCTTGGAAATTTTCGTAGTACAACATTATTCAATAATAAGTTAAATTCAAATCACATTAGAGAAAAAGAATCAACTCTTAATTGCTTTTACATCCTCAGAATAACTTATAAAATTTTAGTTGTAATATTACTAATACAGTAAAAATTTCACTCAATCGGGTGTGGACAGAAATTGATACATTATTGAGTGAATTTGGATGAATTTTTATTTTACGTTCTTATCAAGTGAACCATGTACAAATGATTCAAACAAAGATGTTTTTATATAAGTTTTTATTCAAATAAAATTACTTTTGAAACTTAACGCTTTATTACAATAAAATGTTAAATACAAACAGAATATTCATTTATTTGTTAAATTTACTAACTTGGCAAGAAAAGAAAAAAATTATATTTCATTTTCATAATGATTACAGAAAGATAAAGAACCAAACGTAGTATTACAAATTCATATACATTTCTTTAATCTAATTACATTACATTAATTAGGTACAGATGGACATTTGAAAACATGTATATTGTTAAAAAATAACAGCATTCGTTTATTAAGTCTTTGTTGGTTTTTTATTAATTATTATCTAATACTACTTGTTCTAAAATTGTGTGTAATTATATCGAGCGTAGTTAGTGCTATAAATATACTAAATAAAAAATAGCTGTACAGGGTGATTAAAAAAACCGCTGACAGACTTCTAGGGTAGGTAATACATGAAAAATTAAGACGAAAAATTTTTATAAACATAGGGTCGCAAATACCTCCTTAACGAGGTACAGGCGTCAAAGATTCTGTAAAATTAAACATTGTCTGCAATAATTCCAAAACGCCTGAACATTTCTATTTCAAATTTGCTATGCGTAGTTAGCACCTTAAGACCAATGTTTGATGTACTGCTCAAAATTTTATGAGCAGCAGTGTCGTAGAGACGGGGTCAACGTGACCCTTTTCTAAAAATATTTTCTACGCCACTGCTAATTTTGTCAAACGGGCACTATTTTCGTATAAAGTGTTCAATTGTCTATCGAATTTGATATAGTAAAATTAGAGGAATACGAATATCTAATCAAAAATCAATAAAATAAATAATTTTTGCACGAATTTTGAGTTTAAAGAATTATGCCAATTTCGTTTGCTTTTAATAAATAGTTATATTATAATTATCAAGCTTTATTAGTTTGTGTTCATTAATGCATTCCACGGAATTCACGTTTTAATGATTAAATTTAAAAATATATATTTTCTTATTTTAATTATATCTCTGTTAATTCATCGAAGTATAACAAAATTTTCTTCTATATCTCAGAATCTACACAGGAGAATTCTGTCGTATTTGACTAAAAAGCAAGGGATTACGAGGTAGTTTTTATGTGTGCAAGATTTTGTCAATTGCATAGAAAATTCCCTGGGCAATAAATAATTGTTTATAACGTAAAATGTTGAAAAATTAAAAAGAAATTCTAAATATTTTTAGTATTGATCATTGTTTATTATGACAAGTATCTCTAAAAAATTGTGTGCCCTTTCTAAACCTTTATTTAAACCTACGCTACGCGATAAACTTTTTGAAATTTTCTTAATTAACAATCCTGTCAATCGAAAACCACGCTATCAATCGCTGCAAAATTTTTAAGGTAAAATTGACATACCTATGTGTTACTATTTGTTCAGCAAGTTTCATCAATATTAATAAATATTTACTTATTTTAAAAATTGCTCCAAATATACATATCATTTTCTATTGTTTTTCGCCCATTGCTACTGAAAAATTCACCTTTTTTGATTCGCAGTTATTGTAACTTTATAGAAAATCGTCAAATAAACAACAAATAAAGAGTGACTTTTTTATTTAGGGCTTACTTTCAGTGTTATAGGGAAAAATATGTCGGAAAATGGTTTTTTGGAATAAGATAAATCGATTTGACGGGTTCTGTGTTAGCCGGTCCCATCTAAAAGTGTGTAGAGGGCTTTATAAAATTCATTCAACACTCTCGTATAACTGTTGTGGTACAGACTTCAAGTTAATTTGTCCATTTTTTTCATTCACCCATTCGTCTAAATACAAATAGCGATTCGTTAAGCTTTGAGACACACAGTACATGAGGTAGGCACGGCTCTTGGATGTTCTCATCTTTCCAGCTGTCCGCAGGGAAAAAAAGTTAACGATAACGCTAAACGCGTACCAGAGAACAAGAAGTATAACAACTAATATTAAACATTGCACTGAAGCTCTGAGGTTATTAATTTTTTGGGTTGTGGCTGTGACACCCTCATTTAATTCTTCTGTTCCGCCTAAGTCAGACTTAGGTTGGACTTCAGCACTAGGTTTGTTGTGCAGTACATGTATTTTTGATACGTTAGTTGTAGATCCATTCACTAAACTATTTGTAGGATCCGCTTCTGTACTTGCTGTCACATCACAATCACGAGGAAGAGTGCTCTGATACGTTTGAGGTAAATTTGTACTGACTGAGGTTTTGATACGTTGTGTGGAAACTATAATTCCGTCGTAATCGCTATTCCATATTTTAGAACTACACAAATTTCCGTTTTCGGTTAGTTTTAAACTGATGTGTTCATTACGGATATAATCAGTTTTGTTATCAATCCTCCAAACGTCGAAATAGCCTTCATAAATAAAATTTAGATCTCGACAGACGTTGGAAGTCCATACTATATAATATTGATGGTTTTGGTGTGCATAGTAAAATTTCTCATCCGTGTATTGACGCAACCCTATCCTTGTTTCGACAGTATTATTTACCAATTTGGCACGAGCTGGTAATTCACATAATGTGAGAAATTTCTGTGTGCCATCAAGATTATTATAAAAATTAGTTCCTCTTCTGGTGTATGTACCAGGAGCAAAATAACAATTCATACATTTTTCTATAATATCAGTATTATTAATTTTCGTTTCTCTGTAGTTATATAGTTTACAGATATCACCAGCATATGTGTCAGTGTAAATACAAGGGTAGATTATAAGGTTCACATTAGCATTATAAATATAAAACTGAGCACGTTGTTTTTCCTTTCGGCATTTTTCTTGTTGATGACTCAGGACCTCCAGTAGCAATCCATAAAGCATTACTATTACTATTTTCATCCTTAAAAAGAGAATGCTTTAAATTAAAGAAAATCTAAGAAGGTAATAATTTTCATCTTTCAATGATGATGAGTTTTCTCTAAATGTCTGATTCATAGTCCAGGAGAATAAGGAAAAACTGAGCGAACTTTTTTACTTTAATATTTTTTTTATAGAAAAATGTAGATTTTGAAGTCAGAAAATAAATGTTACACATGCAACCACCAGGAACATACAGTGTTTTGAGATATAGACATATACAGGGTGTCCGCGTTTTTTGTAGCAGGACTTTCACAACTTGTACTAAAAGTCCTTTAAAAAAAGTTCATGTAAACATATATGTATAGATGCGTCGTTTTCGATTTACAGAGTGTTCAAGTTTAAAATGATAATTGATTTTTTATTGGTAAAACGAAAACCCCTTTTTAGATTTTGTTGAGACTTGGCAACTTTGTTTGTAATAATAATACTCATTTTCTCACATAATTTAATTTGTCCTATTTTCTCCAGTGGCGTCACAACAAGATACCAGCTTGATCAAAATAGAAAAAAATATGGTACGCCACTGCTTTTTGGTAGCTTTGAATTTTTTCTCAGATTTGGCTATCAAAAATACAACTTTTTTTGTTATTTAAGTTTTTTCCTATCTCGCTTTGTTTAGTCAGAAATAAAACATTTTCATGAATAGGTTCGAGATTTGCTTAATTTATTTATTTACTTGTTACAAAGTGTGCCGTGAATATGTTACTTTTTGAGTTCCAAGGATTTTTTGTTGGGACCTTACATCCTGCCCAATAGATTAAGCGGTTAATTATTTCTTGAATTTTCAACTACCCAGCATGATAACATGCTAGACGATGTTCCTTTTCAACAAAGAATAGACTCGTTTTTTCAATTAGATGGATGCCCTTCCCAGTACTCTTTGGTGATAAGAAACTGGCTGAATACAGAGTATCCACAGAGATGGGTGGATCGTGGAGGTCCAGTTGGGTGGCCTCCGCGATCGCCTGATCTAACACCTTTGGATTTTTTTGTTTGGGGATTTATTAAGGACGCAGTTTACTATACGCCTGTTAACTCGCAAGAGGAACTTGTACGACGAATCCGGAACTGCTGCTCTCAGAATAACTCCACATCATTTGAGAGACGTTAGGCGGTCTTTGATACGTCGCTGTAATTTGTGTGTAGAACGAAATGGCGGGCATTTCGAACAGGTCATTTGAGATCTATTTATACAATAAGTTGTTTTTCCATACCGTGTTGTTTATTTTTTTATTATTTTACAATAAACTGTGTGAAACAAAAAGTTTAATTTCTGTCTAAACAAAGCGAGATAGGAAAAAAAAGTAAATAACAAAAAAGTGGTATTTTTGATAGCTAAACCTGAGAAAAATTACAAACTTACCAAAAAGCAGTGGCGTACCATATTTTTTTCTATTTCTATCAAGTTGGTATCTTGTTGTGACGCCACTGGAGAAAATAGGACAAATTAAATTATGTCTAAAATCTAAAAGGGAGTTTTCGTTTTACGAATAAAAAATCAATTCTTATTTTAAACTTGAACACTGTAAATCGAAAACGACGATCTATACATATATGTTTACATGAACTTTTTTTTTATAAGAACTTTTAGTACAAGTTGTGAAAGTTCTGCTACAAAAAAACGCGGACACCCTGTATATCGGGTATCCGGTAAATAATAGAAAACCTTGGCTGGGGGACCCTAAGGTCGTTCAGAAAATTAACTTTTGTCTTAGTACAAAGTCCCTTCGTTTTTCAGTTATTTCGTTTTTTTTTTCGAAATTTCCGCCATAGGTTCCTTTATTGGTCACTACGGCCACAAAAGAACATATTATCTTTCAGTTATTATTTAATTTTATTTAAAAATTGCAGTAAATGTTCAAATTGTCTGCCGCCTTCTCTGATGCAGGCTCTGCACCTTCTTATGAATGCCCTTCGGAGATTTCGTTTGCATCTTGGCTGACTAACGTAAAATTTAAGTTTAAGAATGTTTTAAACAAGAACTACTATTGCTAGTTAAAAATTCTGACAAACATCTGATAATAATACAATTCAAGAATATTACGCAAAATAACTGAAAGATAATACGTTCTCTCTTGATCAATAAAGTAACCTATACCGGAAATTTCGAAAAAAAAACCGAAATAACTGAAAAACAAAGGGACAAAAGTCGATTTTCTGAACGACCTTAGGGTTAAAAGGTTATCCATTATTTACCGGACACCCTGTATACAATTTTCCGCGTTTTTAACCAAAAACTGCCAATATCTCAAAGAAAATGTATTTTTTCAAAAAAGTTTCAAATAAAAGTTGTTCAAAATTAAATTTTCTATAAAATTGCTCCTATGAAAAATTAGATTTTCCCAATAATTTTCCTTTATATTTTTTTAAATGCATACATATTACCTATGTGAAAATTAATGTCTTAGAGCCAAATAATGGTCAATCATTTTTAGATAACAAAAGTGAATTAGAGAAAAGAAAATTGTAGAAAATGTATGTACAATGTACAAAATTTTTGTATGTAAGTACAATTTTCTGAGGTTTGAATATTTATGAATGTCAAACGTATCATCTCATAGCTTTTCAAAGCTGTACATAACGAATTAATTCTGCACTTTTTAATGTGTTCCAGAAAAATCTGTTTTCTTTGAAATTTTTTTTGCGACAGTGCTGAAGCAGTTTTACATAAGAAATCTAAATAAAAAATTGTTAAAAATAATAAATCAGGTTTTTTAATTATAAATAAATAAAAAAAGTTAATATTAACAATTTTTCTGTTGTCAAATTTAAATTTTCAATTTCATTATATTATTACAAATTTTAATGGAAACAGATTTTCCTGGAAGATATTAAAAAGCGCATAATTAATTAAACCTATAAAATGCTACGTTTGATGCTCATAAATATTTAAACTTCGGAAAACTATATAAGATTTTACAAGAATTTTCCGCAATTATCTTTTCTCTAATTGAGTTTCGTTATTTGAAAATTATTTAAAAATGAATTTGCCATCATTTTGGCTCTAAAATATTAATTACAACATAATCTGCCTACTTCATTTAAGAAATATATAGGAAAACTATTGGGAAAATCGAAATTTTCATGGGAGCAGTTTTGTAGGAAATTTTATTTTGAACAACTTTTATTTAAAACTTTTTTTTCGAAAAAATCCATCTTCATTGAAATATTGGCAGTTTTTGGTAAAAAAAAATCATATACAGGGTGATTTCAATTTAAATGTAGAAACTGAAGGAATAGATTAGCTGCCAAAAAATAAGTAGAGTTTGCTCTATAAACTTTTCTCCTAAGGGACGTGGTATGCGAGATACGGGGTGTTCAAGTTTAAAAAAAAAATGTGTTTTCTGTCATACCTTCATAATGCGCTGAACGATTTTAATGAAATTCACTACAGCGTATTCACTTAATTAGACCTTTTATTGAATATAATATTAACCTCGTGGCATTAACCAGTAGCGTGCTACAGAAGGGGCACATAATTAGTATAACAGTTACTAAAAACGTAGTATGCGATTGTAAGGAAAAATAATTTATTTTTTTGCTCGTAAACTATTAAGTATACGAAGAAATGAGGAGAGTGAAAAATGTTTCTAGATGAAATGTAGTATTTAAATATATTTTTCTTGTAGATTACGTAGCTAACTTAGTGTCTAAATTAACTAACGCAGAAAAAAGTTCTGAGAGAAATAAAGCCAAAGGATGCTAATTTCTTTAATTGAAAGACATACGTAAATCAAGAAATAAGACTATCAAAATATATCATTCAACTAGTTGTTAACGTGTACCAAGATTTAAATTTCTAACTTTAACCGTTTTCGCAAAGATAATTTTGTCAGGCATTTTGAGATTTGAATATTTTCTCAGGGGAGGCTCAAATGGAAAAAATGTATTGGAAGTTTAACTTTCCTGGACTTTAATGAAAATTTATCGTGAGGCACTATGCATCCAGTAACAAAAAATTGTTCAGTTATTGAAAAAAATACTTATTATTGAATGCGAGTAGAAACATCATTTTAGGTAACCCATATTTTAATTTAAAACTACTAAATACAGCCTTATGTTTAATTTTCAGAGACAGATTCTTAAAAATTATAGTCAAAAAGAAAACTTCGTAATGGTAGGGAGTGACTGTGATGGCGTTACAGTTTGGCGCCTTAATTTGTGATGAATTTATTACAAAAGTGGCTATTCAATAGAAGGTACTACTCTAATTTTTACATAAAAAGAAATGGCAATTGGTTATGGCTTTTAATCATAAAGTAGATGGAATGTGTTTCCTGGGTACACATGCCGCAAGTGACCCATTTTTAAGCATTACGTCAAGAGCGCCGCCGGACGCACCAACCTTCCAGGAAGGGTCTACGGCGGGCTGGCGCCGGCGACCAGATGCGTATTCATATACCTACGACCGACTCTCCAACGAACACTCACCCCGCCACCACGTCTTTTTTCTATACAACTTAGTTTTCAATAAAATACTTTACTTACTGTACAACGAAAGCAACCCTCATTTATTTAAACTTTCAGCCGGCAAACAATTTTTCTTGATAACTTTTAAAAATTATTTCATATTTCAATCAAAGCAGCCTGATTAATAAAAAATGGTTGCTATAACAATGGTTATTATTTGTGTTATTTTGTTTATTCATTTGACACTTGGCGTTAAGGTGATAAATAAAATATCCATTTATTTGTAACTGAAGAGTATCCCGACATTGTTTTTGTATATGGGTAATCCAATGGGAACGCCAGACAAGCAGCCCGAGAATACCGACGAAGATACCCAAATAGCCGTCAACCTGTCCATACAGTCTTTAGTGCATCGTTTGACAGACTTCGAGAAGAAGGTAACCCCGCTCCAAAAAAGGCCATTCGTGCTACTGAAGTAAATGTACAAGATGAAGAAGATATAATAGCTGCTGTCATTTACATCATTGGCAACTCTTCAATTATTAGTGTTCGGCGTATAGCAAGTAATCT